CTAATCCTGGGTGGATGGGACCCTGAGCAGCTTGTCCAGCCTCTACTTTTCCAGGTGGGACCTCTGGAGGAAAAGATTTCGTGTCCTGGGGCTCTGGTTTTGGAGGTATTTGAACTGTGATGTCTGAACTGTGGTGTTGTGGTTGTTCAGGTTGCTGAGGCTGTGGAGACGTTTGAGGTGGTGCCTGCTGAAACTGCTGTGGCTGCTGGAACTGTTGAGGTTGCTGAGGTGGAGGCTGCTGGAAGTGTTGAGGCTGCTGAGGTGGAGGCTGCTGGAAGTGTTGAGGTTGCTGAGGCTTTTGGACGTCGGCTTCTGTGTGCATCGGCTGGGGGAGCTGCGTGTTCTCGGGTTTCTGCTGCATGCTTTGTTGTTCCTGCTCCATTTTTTGTGGCGGCTCTCTCGTGAGGATATGCTGCTGAACCTTAGACGTCAAAAACAATTTATTGGAATCTGTCAAAATCTAGGCCACAGCATGCTAACAGGGAAATCAAAGCTTTATATATATCTGAAGAAAACAAAAAACAACAACACGCCAAGTGAATACACAGAAAAAGTAAAATTACCTGTGGCCTTTCTCCCATCACTTGTGATATAACAGGTGACTGGCTTCTGATGTGAGGAGGGAGATGAATGGAGGCAGTATCGCGGTGCTGAGGAAACAGAGTTGGCGAAGCCTGTTCCCGGGGGGGCTGCATTGCAGCAGAGTAGCCGGGCCATTCATCTGTCTGAAGACGATGGAAGGGCTGCTGATGTTCTGGGTAAGGGATGCGCTGAGAGTAAACTGAGGGATTTAATTGAACCTGTGTCTGTCCCCCTCCACCCTCATGAATCACTGGTATAGGGATATAACCAGACTGGAGACCGGTGCTGCTGGGACGTGAAGGTTGGTGATGCGTAACAGTATAAGCCTTAAAAATAAATGACCAAATTAAAACAGTCAAAATTCAGTAGTTGTTTGAAAATTGGAACATTTCTGCCTACTGTAAACATTATACTCCATCTGGTGGCACATTTAAACTCAATTCCCACCTCTGGTGTCTGTGAGACAGGCGAGCTGGTCTTTCCAGGCTCAGAGGAGGAGCTGTCTGACGGGCCATGTAAAGGCGATCTAGGCCTGCAGTGGAGAACCGGCGTTGGGGAAGGTGTCCGCCCGTCTGTCCGGATGTTCTGTGCAATGCTCGGCTGGATGTAGGAATAACACGGGTGCTGCTGCTGCTGCCTCAGTTCTGCGCCTTCATGAAAGACTGGGATGGGAACATAACCTGGGCGAAGAATGGGGTGCTTCATCTCCCTCACAAAGGTCTTCTGTGTCTCCTGAGGACTTAGTTCTGGCTGTATGTTGGGTCCATTTGCTGACACTTCTCGAACCTGAAACATAGCAATATAGCAATCTATATAACCTTATACTCAGATGAATTACAGTTGCTATTGTAGTTTATTGCAAATTTTAGGCATCGGTTGATTACAAAATGTGCTTTAATATATTTTTACCCAACTTATTCTTGCTCATGGGTGTGTAACAGAAGCAACATTACTTTTATATATGTTAAATATTCAGCTATAAGCTCGTCCACTTAAAGAGTTACATTTAAGTCCACGTACAACAGGACATTTTACGATGTCCCACTAAATGTTTTTTTCAAACTATTAAGGAATTTTAAAAAGGAAAGTGTTTTCCGTCCTGAGGTAACTGCAGAGGTTACAGTTTAAAATGTCACAATTTCGCAGAGGGATGCCAAAAGTATCACCTCATTGAATCTTTGATATGTGAACCCACAGGCTCTGGTGCGTTTCCCCGTCAGACAGCTTGCTGTTTCCGTGATGAATATTATTGTTGATTGTTTCACAATCAGAGTAACATAACCTGGATGAATGTCCTGACTTATCCAACAACAACAGTTAGCACATCCTTGGATCTAATAATATCAGCCAAACATTAGGATTTTTACAGAGAGAGGAAATGTGGTTTGCTTTGATTGAAAAAAAAAAAGAGTAAATATACGAGTTCTTTCCACATAGCACAGTAAATTCTTTCTTGAGCAACATTTATTCATCAAATCATATACAATCCCAGGATACATTTGTATGCATACAAAAGTAAAATGTAATTAAAAGAAGGGGCTGGGTACTACAGTGTGACTAGTAAATCAATGCTTTAAATGTCCATTTTCTACTGCAGAAAGGCGCTTGTTTTCTATTAGTATTACTTTAGAATAGACACCTGCAGGTGACAGCTATGGATGGGTACAAGCAACAGGTCTGCCAGTTCAGCACTCAGTTAATGGCATAACTGAAAAGTGACAAAAGTTGTACCAGCTGCCCGAAACACACCCAAAGTAAACACCTACAAAGCAAACACTGCATTTATCTGTAAATCAGTGGCATTCTTCCAGTAGGACTAAAGTAATGATATAGCCGTGAACGACCCTTTGCCCTCTGCCACTATGGGACACTCCACGCTGCCAGCACCATTGCACCAATTTTATCCCCCAACAGCTGTGTCTTTCTAGCAGATTCCTCTGGACGCTAACTTTGGACAACAGCGTCTCTCTCTCTGAGACGAAAGATTACCAGCTGGCAGGCTGTGAAGCTCACTTCAGCCCACGGGTTTTCTCTGCAGACCTGTGCGCTTTCACAACACGGTTTTTAATACAGCTGAATGCGATACGCGGGGGGCAGCCAGCGCCCGGCTACAGCCGTACACAACCGAAGCAAGTGGACCAGCCTCGATCCTTGTAAGGGAAAAAGTTTAATATGAGCAGGACGTCGCAGCAGTGTTTTCCACCGTGAAAGAAACACATTAAAATACCGGGGAGCTCATCATGGGTAGCCTTTTGCATGCTGCAGAGTGAGTCATCGAGTAATAATAGTGTTAGATCATGACTCGGGAACATATCAGAGTTGATCACCCGTTATAATGGGCTTATGAGCTGTCCGTGAGGGGGAGGCAACGGTGCCAAACAGGGCCTACGGTCAACAAGACTAATATATAACAGTGATGTAGCGCAAAGGCTTCTGCCGCTTTAACAACGCAACAAACCAAAACATGCACCACAACCGACGCACTTCAACAGAAAAAAAATAGCGGCGACACTGCCGTTAGCCGTTACCGTTAACTAACCAACTTTATCCCGCCGCTCTTTTACCTTTTTCGTGTCGTGTCTCGGGTCATTCCAGGTTGTGGTGCGGTTGTTGTGGTCCACGAAGAAGGGCCATCCAGTCTGAGGGTCAATTTTTACTTCCCAACCGAGGGGGAGAGGGTCGTTGTCATTACTCGCCATGGTCAGCATCGGTGACTGTGTCTTCATGCCGTTCATATTCCTGGCTGTCGAGTACTGAGACATTTTATACGGGCGACGGACGCTTTAAAGATTCCTTCAAGTGACGTGGAAAAGTGGGCTGGAAGTTTCTCGAAATAGCAGGGTTAATGTTGGGGGCGGACAGCGCTGGATACAGTGGCATGGGTTCCCAGATTTTTTATGTCGCAGGCAGACCCCCCTCACATAGGCACAGAGTAAACCCTCGGTATATTTTTTTTTTGCCCACCCCACCAGGCAACCTTTTTTTTTCCATCTGTGCTGTAGCTAAATCACAGTGTCCTGTCTGGGCAGAGAAGAAATCACCCTTATGTGTACAGTGGGCACTGTGGACCTTCCTCAGTTTCCCTTGCCCCTGGACCATTTTCCAAGACAAGGGAATCCCAAAGTGTTTGCTTAAAAAGATGTTCTCCAAATAGATGTACTCAGACTCCCACGTGATAAATGCTGTCCAAGGGAACTCAGTCTGGGTTTGCATTGATTTGGTGCACAATTATGTAACTGGTGGTGTGATAAGTGTGGGCACAGTGACACGTCTAATGACTGATCTTTCTTAATCAAAGGACTACTCCAATTGTGCCCTGTACTACAAGGAAAACACCAGTGCAGCAAACCTTTGATTTCGTGGGATTAACAGGGTCACAAAGGTTCGACACATGGATTTTTAAAGGTGTTTGATATTTTGGACATTGCAGGCAACGCCATCTAATATTTGCATTTTGGCACTCCAGGAAATACACACGTGATTGACAGTAATAAAATATGTGTATTAAGTAGCTTATGGGAGCAATTCGTTTTAATTGGATATCTGCCTGCAAGGAGGGGAAGCCAACTTTAATTGTTGCAAGCCTGTCAATTATATCACCGTTAATTACCCATCGCCACGCTTTTCTTAATCCACCTCAGACGGTTTCTTATGGCTGTAAAAATATCACGGTTGCGCAACACAAATTAGAGCCAGTAACATTAAAGAGTGAGAGTAACTAAAGTCTTTTTTTAATGGAAAATTACTAGTAGACTTAAGAATGACAGGGGATAATTTTTTACGCATTTGTCCTTTAATAAAAGTCCTTCAAAATAAAAGCGCCCACCATGCGCCAAGTTTAAACCACAAGGAAAAAATAAAAATGAGGGGGGAAAGAAAAAAAACATAATGTCTTTGGATAGTATAAAAAAGTACAATTCTTTGGTACTGTACACCCAGGGTTATCACAACAGTTCAGGCAATGAACTCAACAATCTTGTTATTCAACTTTTTTTTACCTTTTCGTTTGCCTTTTATTTTCCTTCCCCCCTTCCCCACCCCTTGCTTTTTTTTGCTTAATTTTTTAAAGGGTTTTTTTAAAAAAGCGTGAATGTACAAGTCAAACGGGAAATTTCTTCACAGTGACATCTGAGCTCAGATTCGAGAAACCTCCTGGTGGTTCGCGCCACTGCCTTGAGCCGTCAAATCTCGGCATTGAAAACAAGCGTACCTTTGCTTTGCACTTCAAAATAAGAGTTTCGTATGCAGCTTCCTTTGCCAAAATGAATAAAATAAGTACACATTAGGTTTGCTCTTTTGGCTTTTTACAGTTAATTTAAAAAAAACTGTATCATTCAGAAGTAACGGTCTTTAAGAATTTTTCATTTTTTTACAATTAAGAACATAAAAAAAACCCTTTTATTACTTCAACCTTATGTGACGGGTCTCTTCCTGCACACGCACGTACGTACTCTGGACTCTCACAGTGTGACGTATGCCCTGGCGCCCGGTTAGCTAGCTTCTAAGCTAGTTAGCTAGTTGCGGTTTCTAATTGCCAGTTAATACCAGCTAGAACTAGCTAGTAAGTGGCGTTTTCTTCCCTGGTTACTCTCAGCATCGACTATGGACGACGAAATGCACCCCAGAACCCTGTAAGTAGTTTTTCGTGTCCAGCAGTAACGTTGCGTGTCATTAGTTTCGCTATCGTCGGTATTCGGTGGCTAAATTAGCTACCCGTTGTTTTCACAAACAACTGGACGACATAAACATTTAGCGTTTATGATCCACTACTGTCAGGTTAATTGACATAAGAGTTAATTAATAAGTATATGTGAGTTATATATAAGTGTTAACAACTGTCTGTTAGATGTTACTAACATCGTTAAAAAACAGACTACTGTAAGGAACTTCACTTCAAAACCTCATAATCCCCAATGATACTGTAATACCAGAAACGAAGTACCCGTGGTTCACTTTTTCGAAGTAAATATAGCTGTAGCTTGTTTCCAGGAGTAAGTGGACTTCTTTTTATTTTTCCTCCTCTAGGTATGTGGGAAACCTCTCCAGGGATGTAACAGAAATTCTGATCCTGCAACTCTTCACCCAGATAGGACCATGCAAAAGCTGTAAAATGATCACAGAGGTAAGCAGCGAAGGTTGCTGGGTTATCTTGTTTTCTACGTTGTTGTCGTGTCCTAATGTTAACTCAAAAGTTAACGGCAAAGATAGCCTTCACTGTTGAGAAACCCGAAGACAATAAAAACATTTTCACTGAGTTGTAGTTTTAGTTGAGCCACACTGTTAATCTGTTGTGTCTGATCTTATCCTTACAGCACACGAGCAATGATCCCTATTGCTTTGTGGAGTTCTTTGAACACAGAGATGCTGCTGCAGCCCTTGCAGCCATGAATGGGAGGAAGATATTAGGAAAGGTGGGACATAGCTGCTCTAAACGATTATATGCAAAGTTATTAAGTTTATTTGTTGTGTTAATGCTTCTCATCCTTGAATATCATACAACATTGTTTTCCTGATTCTTCTTCACAGTTTTAAGTGCTCTCTGTGAATTCTGTTTTCAGGAGGTTAAAGTAAACTGGGCCACTACTCCAAGTAGCCAGAAGAAAGACACATCCAGTGAGTGATCACCTATTGATTCCCCTACACCACCACGCACACAAACGCACGTACACTCTGCTAGAATCAGAGTCTACTGGGGATTGGCAAATAGTTTGTTTACCATGTCCGTGTTTTCTTTTGTACTAGATCACTTCCATGTTTTTGTGGGTGATTTGAATCCAGAGATTACTACTGAGGATGTCAGGGTTGCGTTTGCACCATTTGGGAAAATATCGTAAGTTTTTACGTGTGTGTGTGAGTGGGAGAGTGTTTGTGTGTGTATTTTTTTTTCTACTTGTCTTATGTGTAATACAATATGTTTCAGTGCAACCACTGATATTTTTTTTCTTCCTCCCAGTCGGTTGAGAAACAGGTTTTATAGGTTGTAAAGGTGAAACAGAAAGTTGCATTACACAATGAGGCCTGCATTTCTGACACAATCTTTTTGGATGAAAGACAATTATGTTTGATTGTCAAGGACTGCAAATTGGCGCTTTGTGCACACCTTTTGGAGAGAAAAACGAACCAGACAACATAATGAATGTGTAACAGGAAAGGATTAACACTAGAATAGAATAGCATAGAATAGCCCTTTATTGTCACAAAGAGTATTGCTTACATTGAGTAGAAAAGGCCCCACATCGATGCATGTAAACATACTTAAACATGGAGTAACTTATACCTTTAGAATCATGTCGTTGTTGTTTTTAGATATAGAGTGGCGACACATTTGCATTGACAGTGTGGTCGGTCTATTATTTCTTTATTTTTATGACTGAACTGTCAGTTTTTTATGCATATGTAGGGTGTGGTAAGTAAACTGTACAGTATGTTAGCAAAATGTAAGCTGTGTATATGTACCTGAACAGCTTTTAGTTTTGAGTCTCAGTGAAGTAATAGCACTTTGGTTATTTTACAGAAATGCTCATAGGATTGGACAGGAGCTTGAAGGCTAACAGCAAGGAACTGTTCACTCTGGAGACTCAGATGTAGTTTTTTTCTCTATTTATTCCATTCTTTCCATATGTCTTTATTTGTAGATGCCATGTATTAACATGACCTAGCTTAGATTAACAAATTCCAGTACAAAATGTCTTCCTCTAAATCTGTGTTTTGTCTTATTTTTGATTTGCATAGTGTTGTTTGTAGTGCCATGATCCTCTTCCAAAAATTCTGAAAATGTCAATTTCTTAAAATTTGCAGCTCCCCAAACTCCATACTCCATATTGGTGGTAAAGAATTGACCAGGAAAAATAAAGAAATCTGTTAACAGGCCATGTATGCCGTTTAATTCCTTTTTTCTCTTTTTGATATTTTCTATTTATCTCTGTCTGTAGTAAGAGTACAAACAGCAGCTTATGAGAATGCATGGTAATCCATAGCCATTTGCTTTGTGATTTTTAAATCTGTAGCCTACTGTTGTGAGGACTGAGCAAACAGTGGTGCTCTAGTGGTAAAGATCCATTAATACATCAGAAATGATTTAAAGACAGTACTGTAGGCTGCATGTATTTGTACTTGTTTTGCAAGTGTTGCTTTGAAGTTATATTACGAGTCAGTACAAGGTCATGATAGCTAATTTAGCTTAATGTAGGGCAGAGTAGAGGATTCACAGTTCATTGTGTTTTGCGTGGTTCCTTTTTTTGTTTTAGTGTAGAAGATTTAAACTTCAAAGTGCGCTGAAGTTGTTCTCATTTCTCCTTCCAGGGATGCCCGAGTTGTGAAGGACATGACGACAGGCAAATCAAAGGGGTATGGATTTGTGTCCTTCTACAACAAACTGGTAAGGCTCCAGTGCGAGAACACAGACTGAAGGTTATTTCTATTTTCTGTTTCTTATCCTACTTGAATACATTCAAAACTCAATTATTAATAGTTAGTCTTATCACAACTACAAGCATCTAGCATTACTAGTTTCCTATTTTAATCACCAGTTTCACTTACTATTTTAAAATTAAAAAGAGTCATGCATGGCCACAAATGAGTTTTATAAATCTATCAAATCCATGAGTAATTGTTTGGCTTGGGTTTGCAGGATGCAGAGAATGCCATTATTAACATGTCGGGACAGTGGCTCGGAGGGCGCCAAATCAGGACTAACTGGGCTACGCGTAAACCTCCAGCTCCTAAGAGCACTCAGGACAGTGAGTATTGTCACATATCCAGTTTCGGCAGGTGCTATAATTACAAACTAACTGGCCACTTCAATAGGTATACCTTGCTAGTATTGGGTTGGACCCCCTTTTCCCCTCTGCCCAAGCATCAACAAAGTGCCTGAAGGATTTTAGTCCATATTGATGTGATAGCATCACATGTTTGCTGCAGATTTGTTAGCTTGAATCCATGATGTGAATCTCCCGTTCTACCACATAAGATATGATAAGCTTTGTTGTTCTAATTCAGAAGAGGATTATGGCCACTGGGGAGAAAAAAAAAGAAGTGAGCACGTCTTTTTTCTGCCTTTTCCAGAATTCTGAGAAAAAAGTCAGAATTCGGAAAAAACAAGAAGACGTGCCCACTTCTTTTTGGCCCCAATCCTCTTCCGTAGATTCATGCATTCATGTTTTTCACACCAAATTCTGACCGTACCGTCTGAATGCTGCTGCAGATATTGAGATTAATCAGATCGGGAAACGGTCCAATCTTCTGTTTTCTGGTTTTTGGTGTATTGTAGCTGTGTGAATTGTAGCTGACAGGAATGTCATCCGATGCTGATGTAGCCCATCTAGTCGAGATGGCTTTGGGAAAATTCCAGTAGATGGAAACTCAGACCAGCTTGTCTGGGACAAACAAACATGCCATGTTCAAAGTCACATAAATATATTTTATTCCCCATTCTGATGCTTGGTTTACTCAAATGCATTGAGTAGCTACTATGTGATTGACTGATTAGATATTTGCATTATCAAGCAGTTGAACAGGTGTACCTAATAAAGCAGCCAAAGAGTCTGTTATCAATGCATTTTGATATTGTATTTAAATATAGAAGAAACTCTCTTAAGAATAAATTCTCTTAATTTCCTTCACTTTTATCTTCACTTTCACCTTTTCATGAGTCACATTTGGGTGTAGTTTGATTTAAAAAAAAAAAAAAAATAGCAGCGCTTTTATGGGCATAAATTGCAGATTTGATTTGGATTTTATTATCAGCATGAACTAAATGTGTAAATTATAATCATCTATTTAAAAATAATCTGTTTTTATTTCAGATGGTTCAAAGCAGCTGAGGTTTGATGACGTAGTGAATCAATCCAGTCCACAGAACTGCACTGTGTACTGTGGAGGGATCCAATCAGGGCTATCAGGCAAGTGTCACATTCTATAGATGCCATTGTTGCACCCTCTAGTCACTTTGTAATAATAACTTTTTAAGTTGCCTCCAATGAACCCTTTTTTTGAACTCTTGTTTATCTTATCCAGAACATCTAATGCGACAGACCTTCTCACCATTCGGTCAGATAATGGAAGTCCGGGTTTTCCCAGAGAAAGGATATTCTTTCATCAGGTAATACTTGATTCTGTTGCAGCATTTGGCCTCTAGGTGTCAATACAAGCACACTGCATGAGTCAGAGACCATTTATACCTTATTCAATGTCAGCGATAGTTGCTGTTATGTTTATTCAGCGTTCCTGCTTGTAGAACTCTGGATAAGAGAGAAAAATATCTCCATGTTGTTGTCCCTATGCAGTTTTCCAAAGCATTTCTAAAGTTTTTTAGTTTCGATGTGCATGTGATGTTATTAAAGGAAGTTATTTAACATGCTGGTAAACATGTCCCTGTCTTAATGTTAAGTATAGGGCTTAAATTATTTATTTTCATTTTAAACTCCATCCAAGCTTAGCAGGAAACTTGGTTCTTTTTGTAATATGATATCAAATATGGTCTCAGCAGTATGAAAGTGAACTCTCCCTGTGATTTGTCTGGTAGAAAATCTGACTTTCAATCTACTCTTTTGCTTTGAAGGTTTTCCTCCCATGACAGTGCTGCCCATGCCATTGTTTCAGTAAATGGCACAGTCATTGAAGGACACGTAGTGAAGTGCTTCTGGGGCAAAGAATCACCCGACATGGCAAAAAGTCCACAGCAGGTAGAGAGAACGTGTGACATAAGTGGTGTTAAAATGTGCGTTTTATATGTCACAATTGGTAGGAATGACTACACACTAGTCACACTAGAATCAGAATGTAGTTTATTGATGTCTTAACTTCCAAACCACAAAAACACCCTGAAACTCGTGACTTTGTCCACTCTTAAAATAATCTTGCTTTTAAGCCAGAATATAGAAAAAATGACACACAAAAAGGAAGAGGAAATTTACTCATCAAAAAGGTTTCTAGTGTCGTATTTTTGTTGTGTTATTTTTGCTGTTGAATAAACGGGTAAGAGATTGTATATTTACTCACATTTCTGTCATCTGATGTCCTTCAGGTTGATTACAGTCAGTGGGGACAGTGGAACCAGGTCTACGGGAATCCGCAGCAGCAGCAGCAGCAGCAGCAGCAGCAGCAGTATGGGCAGTATGTGACCAATGGGTGGCAAATGCCCTCTTACAACATGTATGGCCAGACATGGAACCAGCAAAGTTTTGGAGTAGAGTGAGTTTGACTTTTGATATTTTGTATAACTACACTGTTTCACTTAAACACCACTTATTATATTTTAATAAAGAGAAGAACTGTCTCTTTGCTTTGTTTTACAGCACACTTGATATTTTTGTCCATATTTGCACTAACTGGGTAACTGATATCATTTCAGGCAGTCCCAGTCAACAGCCTGGATGGGAGGCTTTGGATCTCCATCAGCCCAGGCCGCAGCCCCGCCTGGTACAGTCATGTCCAGCCTGGCCAACTTCGGCATGGCTGGCTACCAAACGCAGTAAGAAGGCCCTAACCTCAATGTAATACCAAGGCGACACAGCACTCTTACATTTGGACAGCTGCTGTGGTAAAAGAAGGGCGGGGCCATATTCACAAAGCCTTTCTAGCTAATAGTTGCTCCTACACAATTACAGTATACAACAGAAGGGAGCACACCCCTGTGCAATATTACATAAAGGTCAGGTGATCAGAGCTGTACTGTCCAACAGTAATTGTGTTACTTCTGAGTACAGCAGTATGGTATTTGCTCTCATGCAAAGTTAAAAATGAATGGTAGATATTTCCTTTATAATAAATGTGTTTATATAATATTTGCTTTTCTTCATCAGAGGAAATACCCTTTCAATTCACGCAATAATGCTGTTAGTGATACAGTTTTGAATCTTTTGAAATCTAGGTAATATTGTACAGGTGTGTATTCGCTTTTGGTGTAGAGTGTATGATTTTAATCACAGTCAATTAAACTCAAAACACTTAAAAAAAAAAAGTTTGTCCATTTTTATTTCTAATTTCTTTTTAAAAGAGGGGAAAAAAAGTTCTCTTAGGCTTCTCAAGTAAAGCCAAACCAACTGTTTTTGTCTGAGTACGTGTTTAAGGACACAACGTCCTTATGAGTGCTAGACCATGTGAAACATCGAGGATTCATGCCTACAGGGTAGAGATCTTGGCACAGAGACAGAACTTACAATGCCTTTCCTTTCATCACACATTTAACAGGTTGACCAGTGGGCCAACCCATTAACCTCCTAGGACCTGGCGTCCACATATGTGGGCATCACATTTTGGGTTATTTAGACCAAAATACTGAATTTTGCTCTACAAGGGCCTGATATCCACTTACAAGGACATTATTATACTGCTACTGTTCTATCAAAATTTTAAACGAATATCCTCATATTTGGCTCTTATTTTTCTTAAAAACAAAAACAAGGTTAAAAAAAATCTGGTAATTCTTTGTTTTTACATTCATCGGGCCCCAATATGTCCAAATATCAAAGAGAAATCAAAAATGCATGCCGTGGAAGAGTTCGGGTCTTAGGAGGTTAAAACATCAATTTATTACAAATTCTTTCATATTTTACAAAACAAAAGGGCCTTAGAGAAAATGTACGTGTAACATAGCGCACACTTTTTAAATGCCACTATTATAATTTTTTTTTTAATCCATCAGCTCATGAGGATTAAAAACCGTGAAAACCTCAAACATACCAACATTAATATTTAAAAACCAAACTATGGCAATATTTTTTTTTTAGGTTGAAAGTTTATTTTCTGGTCATGCTTGTCATTTTAGGGCGTAAAACAAGCCCTTCATGCGAGTTCACGATAGATCGAGAAGGTAAATCCTCCATGGATTTGTGCTACACTCCACTGAGCCGCAAGAATGACCCACTCAACATTGGTCTGGATCTTCAGGGAATAAAATATCCAGACTTTTAGTCCTGTTTTAATATTTTAAGTCAAAAATGCTTTGTGAATAGAGGCCCTGGAATGGTAGTTTACCTTTCCATTATATGTGAAGAAACTCTGTACAACAACTGTGGCTTTAAAGGAGATTCGGGTGGGAAATGGGATTGTGTACCAAGAAGATTTCACCTACACAGGTCTAAAAGCAAAAAATTATTAGAATTTTCATGTTTTTTGTTGTTGTCGTTTTTGTTTTTTAAATCCGATTCCCAGACTTCAGTGAATTTTAGTTTACTCCGTACTGCAGCCAAGATGGACTAATTCATAATGTCTCAAAGGAACGGCTGCAGCACCCAGTCTCTGTATATAGAAAGTATTGTAAAAACTGCTTAACCCCCCCAAACTTTGTAAAGGCAACAAACCCTGCTGTGCTGATTCTGGGGCTGGTTTCCTAGAGGAATGCTGACTCTTAAACATTTTTGTCCGATTCTTCCTCTGTGTTAATGACATCATTTAAAACCACTTCTTTCCAGTGGCTTTGAATTTTCTGCATAGAGTTGTAGAGTGAATTTTGTACTATAACCAGCCCTAGTTTTATTGCATAATTCAAATATTATGGTTTAATTACCCACTAGCATAAAGAAAAGCTCAAATGTTTTAGGGTCACAAAGAATTATTTTACTTTTATTCTGAAAGCGGAGGGTCTCCTAAGTGCACGTATCACTGTTTTGTTAATGTGGCAGAAACTTCCCCTTACGCATTCTGAGTTTTCGGTTTAAAGAATATTGACACGTCTCGGGTAAATCATAAAACCCGCTGAGAAATTACGACAGAAGGATTTCTCACAAACATCCTGCAATTTTGGATTTTATTTGTGTTTGTGCCATTTGTACAGAATATCATACTCCCTGTTTGCTACCTGCTCGTTCTGTAGTGCTAGCCAACAAACCTGATACAGATTTTGTTTGTTTTCATTTGCGCTGGGGTTTTCATTGAATTAAACAGGGTCTTGTTTGTCTAGAGTGTAAATACAAACCTTGATCACAAATCCTCAAAACTTAAACTGATGTAGATACTGTAGGTAGAATGTTACAAAGTTAATCTCCATCATTAAATTTAAGCAATATAGTTTGTGAATGAGCCTTAATTGATTTGTTGGTAAATTCTGAATTTGTTATTTAAAGATGCTCCATTTTAAATCTAAATTATCTTCCTTTTAATTTTTCCTCATTTTAAGCTTTGTGCCATTTTCAGGATGTAGCAGGAAGCAGGTGATGTATCAACTTGAACTGCACGCTAATGACATGTAATATATTTGTTGCTTAAACTATTGAATGTAATGACGATTTGCTTTTTTTTTTGACCATTATACACATAAATTGAACAACAGAAGTGATGTTTATATAATAATAAAGGATTGAATCGATTTCACATTTAATGGAAAAACTCAACAAAGTCACGTCAAATAAAGAAACCTTTGAACCTTTGAGTGTTCGGTACATTTATTGAGGACTAATAAATGCTGCTGCAGGAAACCATATATTCACTGCCTACCAGACACAATAAATGACAATTATTAAACTTTAGATTAATATAGAAGACAACACGTTTCACACATTTGCTCAAAATCTTTCTGCCCTTTTTAGTGTTTATTTTACTTGGATAATAGACATATTTTTCCATTTTTAACAGGAATAGGTTTGGTATCTGCCAGCATTCACTTTTGACTGCTAGTGTCCTATCAGCAGATAATGATGACATTAGCTATTGTTTGATGTCTCAGTTATGTGTTATGGTTTTTATAATACTTAACACATGTGTTAAACCTCTCGTAAAACAAGAAAATACAAACCTATCAAAACTTGTTTAGAACCAAAAAATCATTGAATTCACATTTTTATACCCAAATTTGAACCAACACGCTGGACTAATCAGAAAAAATCAAACATAACATTGAACCACTAAATTAACTAATTTTGCAACTTAATCAAAAACAATGTGTTTTACTACTTTTCTTGTAAAATGGTACATTCATGGAAAATTCACGGACAATAATAATTATATTTTAATATTATTTTGGTGAGTTAACCATCACAAAAACGTAAACATCGTTTTGTTATTACCTGCCCTGGTATTTTAAGACAGCTGTGGTATAAAGCTTACATTTGGTGGTGGTCTAATAAATTTGTTAAACACTGTGTATTAAGTTTTATTCATTTTGTATGTTTAAATTGATCTTCCTTTAAAGATGGTGTGAGAGCTGAAAGATTTACTGAAACAAAACTTGAGAAAAGAATTGTTGCAAGATTTCAAACACTGGTGTCATTTCATAGTGAGTGCATCCCAATGTGATGAGTATGATTATTACACCTTGGCATGGTGTTGAAAAATTGAGCCATTTCGCTAAACCATATAAACTATAAAATTGGCCAATAGATATTGAGCAAATGTAAGCGAATGTGAACATTCATCAATAGATTAAAGCAAAGTATTCACTTGGAATTTAGTTGATATATGTATTGCCCAGAATTGGATTATATTACACAACTTCTCTATTTAAGTATATTATATTACATACATTTTATATATATATACTTAAACTGTGCAGTCAGCTAGTAGACAAAATATTATTTATACAATTTACATATCTGCATGATTTCTGTTCTTTCAATATTGAAATGTCGTATTGTCAGTACTTTATTTAACATGTATATTAGGAAGTTTTTATCCAGCTGTTTTCCTCAGAGGTTAATTACATACATCACTTGCTGGTGGAGCTGTGTACTGCTTGCCTTTGGGGTGACATCTCTGCCGTCTGTTGTGCTGTCCTCACTGACCAAAGTCATGACTATCTGAGACAGTTTCATCCTTCTGGATAAGGGCAATTTAAAATTAATTGTTGTGTGTTTGTAAGACTGCAACCAAGAAAGTCTACTCTCATTTTCTAGATACTACAACACACTTGGTAGCTTGAATGTACTCTTCTGGAGCTGTTTAAGATTTCTAACATGTAATCTTGCTGTTTACAAGTGATGTTTGCTCACATCGTTACTGGTCACGGTTTCTTTGCTGTTGCAGCGTCTTTAGCTTTCCCTTGTAATCCCAGTTTCTCCATAATCAGCTCAGTCTGGGACGCAATGCCTGCCACGGAGCTTTCAAGGTGAAGAACCTGTTTGGCCAGACTTCCGGGGCAATAGAAAGGTAATTGAGTTAAATGTATTACTCTGGTTAGGAGAATGAGATAAGTGCATTCGCAGGTTAAGTTTAAAATTTGTCCCACCTCAAGAAATGTTCCCGCTCCACAAAGGTTTGACTGGAATTGCTCTTGTGCTCGTTGGATTTGACAGGAGGCTTCTCGTGTAATTCCATCTGATAGTTCATTCCGAGATTGTTGATTTCGGCACTGAGAGCCTCCTGACAAAAACGCACAAGCATAAGAAACATTTATTTTGTTAATCGGGAATCAAAATAAGAAATGATCAGAAAATTTTTTATAAATATGAACATAGTCATATTTATTTTTTAATTTGCACAAACCCTCTTTTGCTCCAGCTCAGCTTTCATCCACCTCTGTTCGTCTTTATCTAGAATTTTGTTCCCGTCGCGGTCAAACTTGGAGAAGGCTGCGTTTATTTCTTGATCGCCATGTCCCATCCTTCAAAATCATCACAGAAGTGAGGCTCAGGTTTAACAGTAAAATAATCAAGTGTTCCTTTTTGATATTTTGTCACTTACTCTTTAAGAGTTTCTCTGAAGTCCTGAAATTCAAGATCTCCAGATCCAGAGTGTAGAACCTTCTGAACATCTGATATTTTCTCTTTTTTAAGCTTCAGCTTCATAAATGTCTTCATGTAGCTCTGATTTACAAGAAAAGTCTGGTAAAACATCATCCATAAATATGTCTAGTTTTATGCCAATTTCCTTGAATTTGCTTTTACCTGTTTAAAAATGTCAGTAATTTGTAGTTCATCTTTTTCAGAGAGCTCCTGCTTCACCTCTGCATATGTATCATTTATGATGGCCAGGAACATGTTCTGAGGGAAAAATACACAAGATAATGTGACTTCTCGGATCAGATGCTTTTATTATCAGTTATCTCGTGCAGAAGCATGACTTACCAGCAGAACAAAGAAAACAAAAAACACATAAGTGACAAAGTAGATCGGCCCAAGGACTCTGTTAGCGCTGTCGATGGCATCAAAATCAAAGTCTCCAAGAATAATTCGGAACTGTGTGAAGCTGTGGGGTGGACAAAAATTGTAAAGAACTACTAATCAACTGATGCTCGTTACAATTAAAACCCTTCATCCTGCCATTGTTTTCAACACGACTTACATGCACTTTACAAAGGTGCTGAATGTTTGAACCTGCATTCCAAAGAGCAAATATCCGAGTTGAGCATAAGCAAAGAACACGATGAAGAACATGATGGCGAATCCGAAGATGTCTTTGGCACATCGGCCCAGCGTGGAGGACAGCTGATTCATGGTCTTACTGAAACTGATGTACTTAAAAATCTACAAGGACGAGAAGAAAGCACACATTCTCTGGAGAGACAACAAAGCAAAATCGCACAAGCAATATGTTGGACTGAAAGGTGTCAGTTCTTTACCTTGATCCATGCGAAAAACAGGTTAACCGCATTCATGTTGTTATACTGGGTTTGCCAGAATGCCAGAAATTCAAAATCTGAATAGATGTTAGGATTTTTCAGCAGATTCCCAAGCAAGCTGTCCACTTTGATGGTCCGAAATACATTGAATATGATGGCAACAATGGCAAGCTGTAAGAAGGTTGTTAGTCTTTAGAAGGCCCTGAAAAATCTGATAAAATGACATGTTTGAACCACCTTTTCTTACCAATATGACAACAATGTCTAGTATGTTCCAGATGCTATTGAAATAGGAGAACTTGTGTATTTTCAGCTCAAGAATCTCCTCCACAATGTAGTAGAAGATGAACACACAGAAGAGCAACTCGCAGCCTAGGATGAAGTAGTCCCAGGTCGTTATGTAGCGAATCAGTTTGACTGTTCGGATCTGGTAGGAAGGGATTGCTCCACCGGTCGCTGGGAATTCAACCACCAACCTGAAGAAGCAGATGACACTTTGGTCAACCACTGGATGGGTATCAGCAGGTGGGTAAAGGTGCAATGGGCAGTAATGCTCCTTACGTGATGACGCAGAACAAGTTGATGTTCGCGTTGTAAGTGGAGAAGTCGATGAAGACTGCTCTGGTTCCTCTGTCCAGCCAAAGGTTGTTCTGTAGCTCTGTCAGTATGTTGGCGCTCTCCTCTTGTGTGCGACTCAGGTCTTGATAGTATCCTGCTCCACTGTAGGTGGCCACCAAGCCCCAGTAAGAGGAACCCTTTATCTCTTTCTCTGTGTGGTAGGTCCAGCTGCAGTGGAAAAACACAAATACTTAGAACACTAAATTGTGCTTCTGCACTTCTTTGCATGTCAGTAAGAAAACAGTGAGTGAATTACGCAGAGCCGTTGATGAGGCCGAAGCTCTGCTCGTCTTCCTTCTGGTTAGTGTAAACGGCGAAACAGCCTTTGATCCCATTTTCGAAGTCACTGTAGACAGTGCAGGAGTTGTTCTTGATCTTGATCTGCCTCATCCTGGGGACACCCAGCAGCATGTTCTCGTAGTAGATGAAAGACGTGTTTCCGCTTTCCAAGGGCTGGTTATTGTACCACGTTGTCCAGTAGAGTCCGTTCAACAGTGGGCCCTGGGCGAACTTTTCATAAAAAGAAAGAGTTTGATTTGTACCTTTCTTTGTGTTCTTAGTGAATTTTACCCCTCAGCCTGAAAGGTTTGGGGTATTGCTGTCACCCTGCAGGCAACGGGGGAAATAGACCGGTAGGCAAGCGTCAGGTGGTGTGGACACCCAACTTTGTAAACCCAATAACTCAAAAATGAGCCGACGTAGGATTTTCAAATTGATACCATCGACTAAAAAAAACACATCTACAAAAAATCAAGACAAAAGTTTGGATATGATGTGATAGATGTTGCATAGATTTACATTTTTGAGTTTTATTATTTGTTACCATTTACAAGTAAGGAGAGCAGATGTGTTTAAGTTTGAAACTTACCAGGCAGGATCACTGGAAACCAAGCTTCTTATTTTTAGGCCTAGTAAAACAACTACTCATTTCTTTATGGGGTTGGAAGGACATATTTTTATATTCCTGCATGTACTAATAAACATATCAGTAAAGATTAATAGTATTGCTAAAATCTTAAGCATGTGGAAAAAGATATGAAAGAAGCAGTAACACAAACATCACTGTTTGGTCATTTTAAGTGATGTGGTAATGCAGGGAAGAACATATTGTACTTAAGGAATAATCAGTTTTTATAATTGTTTTTAAGATGTTTCCATTTGAGTTCAGGCACTAATATACATGTTCGGTTAAATGAATCATATAGTTCCTTAAAATTTTGAGAACATCTCAGCTTTGAAGGAAATGAAAAAAAAAATGTTGATGAAAAGAAAGAAACATTTAGTAGCAGAAAAATCACTGCCATGGGAAAAATGAGGAAAACTTACGGTCCAGAAGTCAGCCATGGAGCCAATAGACTGAAACGTAACCCCACTGCTACTGGGTGTATTCACAAACAGGTTCGTCATGGCGTTAGTGTAATAGTAGGCGCTTGAGCTGGTCATCCCATATGTCACTGAAAGACAACGTAATCACATCGTTAATGCCTGGTCATTGGTTCCTATCTGGCTTTGGTCAGGCTCAGCTCTGAACGTTGCTCCATTCAGTTTTCTGAGATAAGACTCGAATGCTGACACGCAAACCTGCATTGAAGACTTGTTGTTTGGCTTCTTTTTTTTTTTTGCTTTGTTTTTACATCGCTTTAGCTATCAAACAGATCCAGATGAGAGGCCGTAATTTGTTTGAAGAGGGAGCACGCTGTCCTGACGCAAATGGCCTCATCAAACAGTGTAAATCTAACCCAGACAAAGGATGACGCTAAAAGCTCTTATCGCTAAAAGGCACATCCCTTTCAATCCTAGCTGGACAATGGCTTTTGGGAAAGAAAAATGGGAAGGCTATTTTGTAGAAGCCATTAAAGCAACGGGGATACTTTTATTGTTAAATCAACAGTCCAGAGTGCCCTAACAGCCTGTCAAACAGTGAGCACTTTAAAGTGATCAGTAATGCAAATACAGTGTTTGAAAGTAGACTTAGATGTGTTTGGATGTGTATCCCATATTTCAATGACAACATTATGCAAATTAAATACAGGATATTTTTTGGTAAGTAAAAATGTGTCTGAATAACTTCTTTTTGTAAATGTAGGAAAACATTTTTCATATCATAAGATTAAGCGTGGACAGGAAGTTATTGACCAGAGTGTTGAACATTAATAAGCATTCATTAAGCATATTGAACATTCAGTCAAAACTTTTGAGATCAGTGACGAGCAGAAATGTTGATGTGGAGTACTCACGGAGGCATATGTCCACCAGGAAAAAGACATAGACCAGCAGCTCCCGCAGCGTGGTTCGGATGAACTGCTCTCTGTTGTCAGAGGTGTTTTTGGTCAGCGTTGTCCCCCACAGTGCTACGGAAAATAGAAGTTTAAATCATCAATATGTAATTACATGACACAAGCTTTTTTTGTTTTTTTGCTGGTCTGTCAAGCAGAAGTGTACCAGGCTTCGACTGGTTTTACTCGTACTTGTTACACTGCTCATACAGCTGAGATTCGAAGAAGAAATGTCAACATGAGGTAGATTCAAATGTGTTCTTGCCTTTGATAAAACAGCAGCAGCCTCTTCGTTTCTTCAGACTTTGGTCTTTGGTTGGTGGGTCCTCTGGGAGCGCTATCGGGGTGTCCAGGTTGTACAGGCTATTCATGTTCCCCTCGAAGTGGGGTTTGGGGTTGAAGACAGTGGTGACCTGGGGGAAGGGTGGAGGGGAGCTACAGTAGCTCTGGTTCACCCAGCCCCCATTACCTACTTTGTCCAACTCAAAGTCCACTTGCCCAGTCAGGTGGCTCTCAGCCCGATTGTTCAGGGTCTTCATGGTGCAAGACGCGTGTGTTTCTCTGTGTGGAACTTCTGGTGTTTCGATTAAAGAGGAAAGTGAAGCTGAGCAGTGTCGGCAGCTTTTGAACACCTGCTGGAGAGGTGGATGACATCAGCTGTGTTGAGGGAGGAGCTGCTGGTCTACTGTTGTAGTCTTGAGATTGAGACCCTTTGAAACACATTGACGTAACAGCACAGTAGGTGTTCTGCTAACACACAGCATTGACATACTGGTTTCTATAGTGTTTGGATATATATATATATATATAATGCAGAACAATAACTAACATTGTTTGGTTTTCCATTTGATTCAATTAGAAAACAAGAAGCACTCAGAGAGCGCAAACCTCCACCAAGTTAGTTCACTCTCTGGGCACTCCTTACTTTGGGGTGGTGGACGGATGTTTAGTTTGACTATGTAAACATTATGTAGGAGTAGTTAATGGACAACAGGTATTGATTTGTGAATAAGTCAAGATCATTATATAATATTATACCACAGTATATTTCAGATTAACTAGGCAGCTCGTTCTCTCTCTAAAGGCAGATATGAAATGGAAAAGTGAGGTCAGAGGTCAAATGTGAGATGATAGTTCAATGCAAACTATAATGTGATATTTAGAATACATATATACTGGTATCATAAATGTTGCCAATACAAACAAAGGCAGTAGAACCTTAGAAACATTTGAAAGATATTATATGAAACTGTATTTGACCCTAAGGAAGAGGTCAGAGGTCTAATGTTGCGTTATATAGCACAATACAAACAATGGCAATAAGAAACATAGTTTCAACTATCTCTAGCATTATTATGACTTTGATCTATTTCAATTTGTTGACCTTGAACAAGAGGTCAGAGGTCAAATCTGAAATCTTTATACAGTAAATTCTACATGTTGACAGTACACACCATACTTGTAAGAATCCTAGTTTATAAGTTATAAGGCTTTTTGTCCATTTTTGACCAATAAATCATTAAGCTGACTTTGAAGCCCTTGGTGGGTGTAAGCTAAATTTTAATAGACTGCTACCATGACCTCACTTTACACCCCCACAAACTTTCATCAGAATTCATTCAAACCTTTTCGAGCTATCGTGTTTACAGAAACAACAACGTGCTCGCCACCAAAACATGTCCTTGGCGGAGGTGACAAAATAAGAGTAGCTTTCCCATCACTCGCATCCTTCGAAATGACATAAAGGACTTTGGTAAATGATAAACTTCATTCTTTTGTAGGAATCTCTACACAGTCCTGCGTGTTAATTTGCTGGAAATGTCCTATTAAAGAAAAAACACGCAGCCATGAGCTGAATAAGGCTGAATAATTCAGCAGTTGAAAGACAGTTTACTTCCATGCTGAGCACATTGTTGTCACTATCGATTAATTGCATGTCAAGTATATTCTCTGTTACCAACTGTTCACCACTTGTGGCTGAATTAATGAGTCTAATTGGAGTTTCACTTACAGCCTCTGAATAGTTTCCATTATGCACTTTTAGCTCTTCCATTTATTAATTTTTGCATCATCTGCTTGTGCTATAACAAGCCTCTCGCAGCACCAGCCACTTGTATTATAGTCTTAAGCACTTAAATCCAAACACAGCTACACAAAAGAACAGCAGGGTAATCAGATGAGTTTAATGCGTTAGTGTTTGGACATTACAGCTAAAGCACTGCTGTAGATGTCTTCATCTTAACGCGGATAGAGTTTGGGGCCAGCTATGGGCGTTCATGCTTCATTGGCTCTGAACAGAGCGATTACGCACACACACTGCCACACAATAGAGTTTAATTTCTGCTCCCCTGCTGAAGCGGTGGTAGAATCTGGCACGCAGGCTTCCTTAATCTGCTGCGGCTTGTGCCACTGTTCAAACTTACTCATATCTCTAATAATCACTTTTCAGTGGCTTATGATAATGATGATGATCATGATGATGACGGCTATTTAGATGGGTAGCCCTGTGGCTGTAAGAGTCGCTGATGATTATCTCTGCTTACATTAAACTAAATGATTGTACTGTTTTTTTTTAAAAGAAAAGTCTTTATGTATCAAGTAAATTTGATAGTTGATTTGCTAAATGATGCAAATTAATCACAAAGGCTATTTTCCACCCCGTGATGTAAAAGTGTCTTATCTCAAAGCACAGGACCTTCAAACTAAAGGATGATTTAATACCGAGGCTGCAGAGCGAGGCTTCGCTCTTACAGGGAGTTTGACATGTGCAACACAAACCATGCTGTAAATTATTTCTTCCCAGTGATAATTCCTCACGCAAAGTGACATTATAAGCATTTAAATGCCATACTTTGTTATACTTTAAATGTCACAGTTTTGGTATGAAGTACTCAGAAATTAGCTTTTTTTCATGTGTATATTTTGCAAAGTTAAATAGCAATAAATTGTGTGAAAAGGGAGAAAACCTCTCATAGCTGTACCAATAAAAACAACACTTATAAAGTTTCATACAAAATAATTTTATTTTTGATGAAAAACTATAATAAAAAAAAAGTCTGTTGAAAAATAACATACTTTTTTCTTTTTTTTTCAAATCTACAAACATGCATTTACACTTTGGGAAAATAGTTACTTTAGTTATCTGGACATCAGCTATGCATCTAAGACCTCAGTGATTTTTGCATAATCCATCAAACATTGCACAGCTTTTTTAGGGCCACATCAAAATAACCGATTAAGAAAATTACAACGTTGCCTGTATCCTCAGTACAATCTAACGGTCTGCAATGACACTACAGTCGTTTCATTGCTATACTCTGAACAAAAACTTGCTCAACATTGCTGGGTTTCCTAGCAAAAACAAATGAAAGGCTTCAAGCCGAAACCGAAGACTCTTTGATTGTCATACAAAATGAAAATAATGCAATACAAATGTATTTACTGTCTCCTAGACTGGAGAAAAATGATTCACATTGTCATTCACATCCAACAACATGACTGATTATCTACTCGATGGAGCAGTTTACGCGTGCACCTCGTGCCCGTCAAACTGATACGAGAGCGATGAGTGGATGTACTCCTGTCCGGTAGCGGAGTCGTACCTCATGAGGCAGGAGTAGTTTTCAGGCTGCACGCAATCAAACTGCAGGTCCAGCCACTGCCTGTGAGAACCAGTGTGCCTCCTGGCATCTGTCAGGATCCGGTTGAGGGCCACGATGTAGCTGAGGGCCATCTGCAGGGTTTCATACTTGGACAGCTTCTTGTCCTGGCCCCACTGTGGGACCACCTTACGTAAGCGATCAAAGGCTGTGTTCAAGCCCTGCATCCTCTTCCTCTCTCTGGCGTTGGCAGCCATCCGGCGCCTCGTAGCAGTCTCGTACTTCTCCGGGCTCTTGGAGTCCAGCTCTGAAGATTCGGATCCAGAGTCGGTGCAGCTGGGTCGACGGGCCTTCATGGTTTTCGATTGAAGACGCAAACTAATCAGATTTATCAAAGAGGTTCCTACTTTCAAGATTCAGTGCTTCTCTGAGCTTTGATTTATTTGTTTTTCCAAGGCTTTCCCTGTGTGCGGGGTCTCAAGTATTTGCAACTCCAAGGAGTGCTCAGTCTGAAGAATCCAAGGTGTCTGTGATCCTGGAGACATCGGGGCAGCTTTTATAAGACAAAGCAGACGAACAGGTGGCAGCAGGTGGAGCCCCTGCCCTACCCCCACCCTCAATATTGCTCATAGAGAAAAACACACCCATGGAGACTCATAAACACCCACACCCACTCCTAGGCACACACACACACACAAAACCTTAATGAAATTTCAATTATCTTGGGCTGGGCTATCTGGCCATGGCTTCACTCGGAGCCATGTGTCACAAAGACCAAAAGTCTACCATCTGGTAGCTCCACTCACCAGTGCTGAGGATGCAAACGAACTAATAGAGGCTAAAGCTCTAATGTAAAACCTACTAATAAACTATAAATGCTGGACTTCTAATTAAGTTAAATGCAAAAATAGATTTCTTGTATTAGAAGCTAAAACTTCAACACAAAAGGAATTTTATAAAAATCCAGTTTATGTCTCAGCCTCTAAAGGCGTGAAAGGAAGTTTTCAATCTGTACATAAATGAGTCTTTTCAGGTCTAACGTTTCTTTTACGTTGTTGTCTTTAACTGTCAGGATTCAGTCTTTACAACATATCCGATTTATATATAACTTAAATATGGACTCTTGGCTATAAAGCGATTATTAAGTCACATAAGCCATCGAGAGGAAGCCTTTCACTTAAAATGTAATTGCCTCTGTGCGACGAGAACCATAATCTGAGATTAGCCCGAGGCAACGCGAGTGTAAGTGAGGCCTGTAACCTGAGGGACATTAACAGCACATCAGGGGATTATGACTTTCAAACAATATGGAGCAAGATGGTGTAAAGATTACTGCACCGGTGGAGGATTTTTTTTTGGGGGGCGGGGGCAGCAGTTTATGTTCAGATGTGGAGACTTTTATAATTCTCTTTTAAGGCTTTTTATCAGTGGTAATGAATGAGAGTGTATGGGATGCATTAATGTTCTTTATGTACTTGCGTCTGCATGCGATATAAATAATTGATCTGTTTAGTCGGCCGAGAAAATGAGACAGACAGAATAATTTGTCTGTCTGTCCTTCCCATCTGCCCACGCTGTCATTCAGCAGGTTCCAGTGACACTCAGACTTATTCTGCTGAAACACCTTAGATGTCATTTGACTTCAAAATAGCAGTGTTTTCATCACTTTTACACACTTGCACTGTACTTACATGTTTTAATGTACTTCTAGGTAACTATTTTGAGATGAAGTACAGCTAAAACTTATGGAATCAAATATTAAACTTCCAGATTTTAATCATCCATCAGTATAATACACTGTGAGCCACATACAGCCCACTGTGATCTTGAGTGGGTCAGTGTAAAGACATTTAAATAAACATTTAATCACTCATATGTCTGAATATATGAAAAATAAGTGCAACAGAAGATCTCATTTGTATTGTATTTATTTGCTTTTT